TTTCGAAACAGTTTTTCAGCACGTTTTTAGTAGTGATTTCGACACAGTTGCTATTTGATTTTAAACTGTTTACTTTTTTTCTTAGATAATTCAATGATACACTGTGAAATTTTGAAATTGAACGCAACATTTCCCCCTGGAAACTGATTTTCATATAGTCAGGTGCAGCATTGGCAGTACCCACAATATCAACAATACTTTCCACAAAATATTCATTTAGTTTGTTTGCAATCACCAAAGAATTTGTTTCGGTACCGTTTTCGAATTGAACTTGATTTACACAATCATGCGGCTTCGAATTGATCAGTCTTTTTAAAGTCTTCCACATCTTTACACTGTCGCACTTGTTATTATCGATTTGTTTATCGTAGAGTTTCCTTTTTTCTTCTCTAATTACATATACACATTTATTCCTAAGAGTTTTATATACCTCCCAATCATCATTTGATTTTGTGAATATACATTTATTGTACTGTTTGTCTCTCAAATTTTGAGCTGCCTTAATATTCTTGTTATACCAGGGTGTATTTTTTGTCGAGCAAATCACTTTTTTATCAGTTGCAAGATCTAAACAAGTTTTTATATTTCCTATTATGTTGTCATACCTTTTTTTCCATATTCTCACCAAAATTCCAATAGCAGCCAGCAAGTTCTCGTTCAAGTTTTTCGTACTTAATAGTATTTACGATTTTCTTAATTTTTGTATCAGAAAAATGCCCTACCAAGGGCAGCATTGTCCAACTGTGATCGCTAACTTTAGGTGTATGTACAGCTTTAATCCCTGCACATTCGAAATTTACAATAACAAGATCTAACAAAGTCTCTGATAATGATGTTAGTCTGGTACTCTCTTCAATTTTTTGCGTGAACCCATAGTTGTTTATGGTTTCTTTCAATTTTCTTGTTTTCATGCTTTTACCATAATAATTTAGATTGAAATCACCTAAAAGTATTATATTGTTTCTAAAATTCCACATTTCTTCGCATTTTTCTTCAAAAAACGTTAAAAATGTATCCGCATCACTGTTTGGTGAACGGTAAAAAGTACAAAGATCATAACGTTTCCCAAATAATTTGAACTGTATATGTGCATACCAGTATGCATAGTCTAAAAGTTGTACTTTTTGCTTTCAACTACCGCATTATTTACACAATACCTTATCATGCGGCGTCAAAACAGTTTTACTGAAAATATAGTCACTATTAACTCATAAATAACTGCGAAAGTTCAAAGTTTAGCGGATGTGATTAATTTCCTACCTAACGTTGATTTACGACCAAGCCGGTTATTGGATGGGAAAGTTGCAGTTACCTACAAATAATGTCGTGTTTTATTAAGGAGCACATGCTTCGATGCAGCTAGCTGGTATCCGATAACGGCATTCTAGGAGAACGGGAGCTAGCCTCAAAATTACTTGCTTCTCAATCGTTCTAAAATATTTCAAAGTTTTAGTTGTCATAAACATTGCAAAGCAATTAGTATTAAATATCGTATTAGTTCGGTTTTCTAGTATCATAAATAATGATAAATAATATTGTGTACCCAATATTTTGTTTCTAGTAACAAAGCTTACAATTTTTATATCAATATAATAACGCAAACTTTGCATAACATTATTTTATTCGGGCTGGCATCGGATACTGAAATTTTTTTGTATAAAGTACCTTTCTTTTATCCTTTTTATCCTAAAACCCTGACGTTAAGCGCTACACTGGTTGTTATGCTGAATACTCTCAATTAGAGTAGCGATTGTAAAAAAGATATTTGCAGTTGTAAAAACGATTGTTCTACATGTTTCAGTTTTCAGCTTTCGCCTGATTTTATTGTCCAGGATGCAATTTCAAATGACATTATTATTTACCTATTTTCATCAATCACAGAGAGAGAGAAATGCTACTTCTAAATAAGGCATTACGGTCAATAATGGTGGTTTTCAGGTTAGTAGTGAACAAATATTTGTAAGTGAATCATACGAGGGATGTCTTTTAATATTTGCATATGGAAATAAAACAACACGGTAGGTAGTTTTAAATGACTTTTTCGAAGTATTCTCCACGAAGATACACATCTGCATGCGCTCGAACCAATTTTCGAACCACTTATTCCACTCGCTTGGTGGCAGATCCAAAAGGGCACTTTTGAATGCGTCTACTGCTTCTTCTGGTGACTGGAACCTTTGACCACGCAGTCTGTTTTTAATTTTCGGGAAAGTAAAGAAATCGTTAGGACTTAGATCGGGACTATATGGAGGATGGTCCAATAATTCCACGTTTTCTTTCGTTAAATACTGCCTTGTTTTTTGGGCTGTGAGTCTTGGTGGAGGATGATTCTTCTTTCGGGGTTGATTTTTCGAAGCTCGGTGATGACTTTTGGCAAACAAATGGTGGTATACCAATCCGAAGTAACAGTTCTTTGCTCATTAAGAGGAATTGTTGCAATATGACCCGCTTTTGACACAAATGTCGCGGCCATCTTTTTAGAAACACTTCGAGAACGGATGACTTTTGTTGGCTTTTCTTCACCTTGGAACACCCAAACAGCCGACTGTCGTTTATTTTCTGGTTCATAACAGTAAATCCACAATTCATCACCACTAACAATACTGTACACATTTTTTGAGTTTCCGGAATTGAAACGGTCCAGCGTTTTTTAACCCTGGCTGCTTTCTGCTCTTCAGTCAGCAGGTGGGGTATCCAACGAGAAACTAATTTTCTTACTCCTAATTCTTCATGTAAAATTTTTTGAATTGAGGTCTTTGAGATCCTCAAGGACGCCTCAATCTCGCGATATGTCACATGTCTATCTTCAATGATGAGTTTGTGCACAGCATCGACGTTTTCCTGGGTGACTGCCGTTTTTGGTGCATCCACCCTGGAATCGTCGATAAGACTCTCCCGTCCACGTTTGAATTATCCATACCAACGGAAAATTGTCAACTGATATGGCACTTCGTTGCCGAAAACAGATAGTAACTCAGCAAGGCATTCTTGTTGCGATAATTGCCTCTGAAAGTTGTAATAAATTATGGCGGTTGAGTTCCATTTTTCTGATGACTTGGTGACTCTTAAAAATTCACTGTAGTGAGAACACTGCACGTATTGCTGTGAAACTTTGAATTTAAGTTTACTAAAGTGTGAGGTTAAGATTCAGTACTGACGTTCGATCCACGCGACCTACTATGTTTTTATCTGCAAAACTTAAAAGACATCCCTCGTATTTGTTGACAATGTAGTTTCATCAAGATCTAGCTGCTACCCGAGACTTCGTACGGTTAAAATTGTTCAAACCGAAGTTTACATTGTAAGAAATACCTTTCTGCCTAGTCGCTAGTAAGAAAAGGTTTTTTCTTTTAACTAAATTTTCCATAAATCCGTGGTGGGAAGTTTTCAAACGAACACCCTGTATAGCCCTACCTTTAGAATACTGCCAATTTTAGGTATCTAGCAGAATTTTCAAACTAACCTACAAGTACCTTTCAACCCCCTTAATACGGCCCTGTCGCTAGATCCGATCCAAACAGTACAAACCTGTAAATGCCTGTATTCCCCTTTAATCCGGGCCTGCCGCAAAATTTATTCCTTGCTTGCATATCATGTCCATAAAACTTTCTGTCAAATTTCATGTTCATAGGTAGAATAGTTTTTGAGATTTGGTGATTAATACCTTTGTATATACAGGGTGTTTCAGTTTATTGTTGCATAACTTTAAGATTCGATAGAACTTGTAAAATTAATGCATAAAGTCTATATAAACATGGGTCGAAAAATGCGAGGCTTCCGAAATACAGGGTGTTTAAATTTACTTTCTAAAATAGTTTTTTTTTAATATTTCGAACAATATTTAATGTACACAAGGGTTTTTTGGTACGACAAAACGAACCATGGGCATAGTTTTACTGTAGCCGCTAGAGGGCGCTCTCTACTGTACCTGCAGTGTATTAAAATGACCGAAAAAATTTTCTTAGTGCAATTTTTTGCTTTTTGAATAAAAAAACTGATTCTTCGCACTTTTCAACATAAAAAAGCTCTCCGGTGAGTTTTCGTTATAGTTAGCCGTTTTTGAAATATTTCGATTTTTAAGGTTCGATGCATTTTTAATTATTTATGATAAGATAACGTTAAAAAGTCAGTATCTCGATAATTTTTAGAAGTAGGCTGTGCCTGCAAATATTTTTGAAATTGAAAGCAGAACAAGGTTAAACGTCAATTAGTTGACAGTTTTGTTGTCTTTTGAAACCTGAAACGTTTTTTTGCAATTGTGAATGCACGAAATTTAGTTTCTTTTACCTGTTTTTTTTTTTTGTAAGTTTTATAAAAATGCCATTTTTATTCTCCAATCAAGAGTTAGCGGATATTCATTTTGTGTAGGGTTTTGTAAATGGAAACGCAGCAGAAGCAGCCAGAGAATACGCACGAAGATTTCCAAACAGACGACATCCAACTCGCTCAGTATTTGTAAGAGTGCATCGCCAAATAATTGAAAATGGTTTTGGAAATCTCCAAAGGGATCAAAACATAAATGTTCGTCAGCGCAGATTTACCCGTATGATTCTGCGTGAGTTTGTATATCTGCTCTTAGTTGCCTCTCAATCCAGCCCTGTCGCGAAATCCGTTAAAATATGACATGTCCTGTCCATAAAGTACCTCCATGCTAAATTTCGTGTTCATGGTTAAACAGTTTCCGAGATAAATATCTTTGAACTTAACTTGAAAGGTGACTAGATATTTTTTCATGAATTCTCCATTACAATCTTTCATTTTAGACAAAATATACAGCTACATGTAGGCTGGCTTAATTTTGAATATAATAGGTTCTTCAGGCTCAATAGTATTGACCCCGACCACACCATTTAGGGATGGAATAGGAGCTAATTGAGCCAAAATCGAACATGATTTTGCATTTTCGGAAAGAATATCTCAAAATAACCACACGTATCTAAGCTTGATGTTCTTATAAGTTGTGTATTGTTTTTCACTACCTGCATTTACTTTTGTTACAGAAAAGTGCTAAGTTGATACTGAATGCCAAAGAAGAATCAGACGTAGACAGGTCCTCTGAGTGTGAGGAGGCACACGTGAAATGTTCCAGGTATTTTCGGCAAGTAAATGCATGGTAAATATATCATTAATTTAGCATGCCCTAGATCTAGATCTAGACGGCTTCTAATCTAACGCATGACTAACATTTGTGGTAATGTAATGTAACGATAAAATCCACACAAAAATTCGCTTGACTACGTACGAGGGTGGTCCCAACAGTACCCGACCCAACGAAGAAATTTTGTAAAAAAATGTATTTATTTTGCAACATAATGTCCTTTGAGCTCTATACACTTTTCCCAGCGATGTTCAATAAGTTCGATACCCTTTTTATAATAAGAACTGTCTTGCTCCTCAAAATAGCCATTAAACTGCCGACATCACTTCTTCATCGTTGGAAAATATTTGACCACTGAGCCATTTTTTCGAGTTTGGAAACAGAAAATAATCCGGGGGGGCTAAATCTGGTGAATAGGATGCATGAGGTAGCAATTCAAACTTTAATTCGTTAATTTTGGCCATTGCAATAACGGATTTGTGAGCTGGTGCATTGTCTTGATGAAACACCTTCTTCTTAACCAAATGCGGCCGTTTTTGCTTGATTTCATCGCTCAAACCTTGCAATAAGTTCGCATAATACTCGCCGTTGATAGTTTTACCTTTTTCAAGATAGTCAATGAAAATTATCCCACGCGCATCCCAAATAACCGACGCCATAGCCTTGCCTGCAGATGTAACGGTCTTCGCGTTCTTTGGAGCCGGTTGTCCCTTTTGAGTTCATTGTTTTGATGCAAAAAATCTGCTTTGTTACTGTGAAACTTCGTTAAACACTCAATTGAAACATCTTCACGACACTGTTTTTGCTCGATTGAGAGCAATCAGTATTGATGGCTGCCAAACAAATACTAAACAACTTGGCGTCTTCAAACTTGACACACATGCTTTATAGGTTGCATACTTTCTAATACAATGATATTTTCCAAACAACTATCGCCATCTGTAGGTCAGGCCGGGTACTTCTGGGACCACCCGTACGTCCCACGCTTAACGCTGTCATAAATTTGTAAAGTATTATGTTCGGTACTAGTCAGCCTTTATGAGCAAAAAGCTAGCTACTAGCATGTAGAACAAAAAAAAGTGAAATGGACGCGGCAATCTATAAATTTCTCCCCTGTCTTACCGACTGTATCGACCGTCTGGCAACATTGCTGAACCATTCCAGTCAGCCAAAAGCCAGCGGTGAGCGATCGGACGTGAGATCACCACATTTTTGCACACAGGCACACGTTTGCTGCGTTCCCGTGGTACCGATACACGACGCGTCTGTTGAAAATGTGCCGTATCATTTTAAGGGGAAATCTATGATCTGTCATAAATAAGCTACCGTCAAATATTGAGAATACCTCCAACAATCCACAACCACTAATTTTTAACTCGATTAAAACATTTTCTGAAAATAAGAGGTTCTGAAGCGATTTTTATTCATTTATTCTTTTTGCCTGTAGCTTCGTTGCCATTGGATTGATTTTGAAAAAGTACAAAGCTTTTTCGTGCTTGGCATAGTAATAACCTTGTGTTAAAATTTCATCAGAATCCGAGCGATACTTCCCAAATTGTAGAGAGGTCAAGGACAGACCGATACATACACCGATGGACAAACAGACTGACAGACACCGACGGAAATGAGTGACAGTTTTTCATGATGTGCGTGTCAGGTAACATCCAAAAAACGTAACATCTTTGAAGTGTCTCGCAATTACAATAATCATCGATTGAATTATACTAAGTGACATATAAATCCGAACACCCAGTTTAAATGGTTTTATTTTAATAAAATTTTGTATAAGTACTTAATGAAGCATAATAAGTAAATTATAAAAATTTCAAAATGATTGCACTGCTTTAAAGCCCTTTGACCTTTAATAATGTGTGGATGCACCCTGATGTGCTACGCATTCTCCAACGCGCCTAGGCATGCTTCTGATCAGGTGGTCAATGTCCTCCTGTGGTATCTCATTCCAGGCAACCATCAACTCCTCTCGAAGTGCTTCTAGAGTCTGAGGAGGACGTTGCAAATTGAGCAATCTCCTACCCATCATAGCCCACACGTGCTCAATTGGGGATAAGTCGGGAGATCTTGGTGGCCATGGTAACAATTATGTTGAAAGAAGTCTATTGTGACTCTTGCAACATGTGGTCGGGCATTATCTTGTTGGAAAGTTGTATCTGCCAGGGTGTCAAGATAGGGTAAAAGATGGTATTCTAGAACTTCGTGGATATAACGCTGCGCGTTCATGTTACCTCTGATGAAGATTAAAGGTGACCTGGAACCATAAGCTATAGCACCCCAAACCATAACTCCAACAGTGTGATGAACATGTCTTTCAACAAAAAACTGTGGATTTCTCCTTTCACCACGTCGCCTTCTAACCCTGGCACGACCATCGTGCATGCCTAAACAAAATCGAGACTCGTCACTAAAGACAATACTGTTCCATTCCTGATCCCAGAGTGACCGTTGTCTGCACCACTCAAGGCGATTACGTCGGTGTTCTCGAGTTAAAGGGAGGACCCAGTGTGGCCGGTATGAAAACAAGCCAAAACTTCTCATTCGTCGGTTAACACTTCGCATGCCAATAGGTCTTCCGTGTTCTGCAAACCATTCATTTGCAATGGACCTGGTAGTGGAGAAACGGTCCCTTAAGGCCAATAATCTTAGGCGGCGATCTTCACGGTCTGTTGTTCTACGGCGGCGTCCAGTGCCCCTTGCTCTTTGCGTACGGCCTTCTCGAAGCCATGCCTGACAACACCTAACCACAGGGTCTACACTTCTTTGCACTCTAACTGCAATTGCCCGAAAAGAAAGTCCAGCTTCCCGAAGTCCCACTATACGGCCCCTATCAAACTCACTAAGTTGACGAAATCGTACAGGTCTACGTACTCTAGGCATCGTAACCGATCGTAAAGGATGTCAAGAACCAAAATCCGCCAACGTCGATACTTTACTGCGGCTGAAATATTCATTTTTAGAGCGTTAGTGAATTAAAAAAAAGCAGTATAAAAACCGGAATGTCCAACTGATAAGGCTGAACATTTTTTCACTTGTTATTTACAATAAGATAAATACTTTTATTAAAATAAAACCATTTAAACTGGGTGTTCGGATTTATATGTCACTTAGTATATTTGATTGCACAATTTCCCATAAGAACCTGCTTAAGATCGTCAAAGTAATGTTTAAGCAATTGTCTGCTTAAATTATGATCACAGGCTATTAATTTCAGTTAAAATTCTTGTAATAGCGGTTAGCAGCCAGAAAAGTAAATTTAGCCATAATCATCCTAATGGTAATAATTACTCATATAAGCAGAAGGCCACTCCTTACATATTATGCTGACGGAATTGAAAAGGACGTTTGCAACGTGGTTGTCTGATTAAATTACTTTATTAATCAATCTACTTATTAATATTACCCCCAATAAAACACGTTTAAGCAGTAAATTAATATCTGCATCAAATTCGACCCTCATCATTGCGATCTCAGAAACACCGATGCAAACTCGGTTAAACGTGGATAAAGTTGCGAATTTAAGAAATTGAGAAAATCACACTTACAAAGACTCGCAATTTAGAATATTTCCGGAGGTAGAAGAACAAAAAGAATCTTCCTAAAACCTTTTTATTTTTTCCGGGCTTTATTCAAGGGGGTTTTCCACATTTCACATTACGTGGTGGCATAATTGCAATTTCAGTGTTTTGTTCTTCATCATCAAGGGGCCGTTCAAGTATTACGTGAGCACTATGGGCGGGTCTTTGCTTTGCTTATTTTGGATGACATGGGGGGTAGGGGAGTCTAGATGATGATCACGTCATCGGTAGTTATTTACTTTTTTACACGAATGGCAACCCTCACATTGTCTTTGCTTGAAAACGAAACGCATTTTCGGGGATTTCCGCAAATAATGCATACTTAGGGAACAGCGCGCGGTAATTCCCCTACTCGGTTCTAAAGCGAGTAGGGGAATTACCGCGAGGTGATCACTTCTCTAAATTTCCTCTATCAGTGTATGGTTTCATTTGGATGACGTATTGTAAGCATAGTAAAGCAAGTTAACATTTGTGTTACCGTTGATTCCATTAGCCAAAGTTTAATGTTTAAATAAGATGTCGTTTCACATAGACAAATCCAAGTTATACCAAAAATTGTTAGAAAGTTTTAAAAATCTCATACAAGTACGAAAGTACAAAATGTACAAAAGTTAGTTAACGAAGTGTGGCGAAATTACAAATTACAAGCAAAATCCGACAAGGAACTAGATATTGTTGTATCTAAGAGAATCGAAGAATTGCGAGCGGCGACTAAGAATAAATCCAATCTACTAAATTTTTTTTCTAAGGTGAGTGACGAAATCATTTTAGGTACCTATGAGTACTAGAAATATCAGAAAACGGCAAAAAGTTTCTCTTTACTGATTAGAAAATATTATGGCCTATCTCAAAGTATAGAGGTAATATTCATTATATTATAGATTTATTTCTTATGATTGATTCCGTCAATCGGTCACAAAGTACAGGATGTTAGTTTTATACATATACGTATATACAGAAAACTAACACCCTGTATTTTGTGACCGGAACGAATTGCTCGTTCAAAAATATTAGATTTAAAGTCATAGGGTTTTGTATTTACCATTATATTGCCATACTTTGTATTTATGTAGCTTAATAAGAGTCTTTAGCAAAAGCCATAGATAGCTTTTATTTTTAGGCAACCTGTAAACCTGCAGAAAAAACACAAATTATACAGTCAGCTTCAAATATTAAAAAAGGGGAAGAAGATAGAATAAAACCCGGTAATGAATCACAACAAGAAATTAATGAAAATACAGATAAACAGAGAGCAAAACCTTCTCGGGAAGCTATGAAAAATAAGATTGCTCTACTCGAAAAAAATCTGAATGCTTTGTATTCTGCCCGAGATACTATGCCAAGCCGTGCTGAAGTTGATAAACAGATCATTAAGTTGCGCGAGGAAATAAAAACAGCAAAACAGTCTTTACACAGGAAGGTTCAAAACGCAATTGCCCAGAAGAAACACAGGGATGGTATGAAAAGAAAGTTAGAAGATATTTGTCATGAAAATCCATAAATAAAAAAAAGACTATCTCTGAGGGATTGAGTGGGACGTCCTAATCTTCAAAGCAATCAACATTCACTATTGAAAACAATCGCGGATATATCTTTATTTGGGAGTGCAGCAGATGATAGAAGACGAACGGAATCATATTCGCAGCGTAAAAACTCTTGATGAACTCACACAAGAATTATGTAAAATAGGATTTGACATTAGTCGCAGTGGGACATATCTTCGTTTGATTCCCAGAAAATCTAATTCTGCAGAGCGACGAAGATATGTATCGACAGTCCCTGTTAAGCTCATTCGAACTCAAACTGATCACCACAAGAGCCACTTAGATAGCAAGTTCGCTGAAACATCAATCCACTATTTAGAGAACATAGCATCCATACTTGGACCAGATCAAGTATTTTTCATATCTCAAGATGATAAAGCTCGAGTGCCTATTGGCGTAACTGCGGCAAATAAGCAAGCACCTCTTCTAATGCACATGGAATATAGAATCAAATTTCCTGATCACGATTGGGTATTCGCTGAGCGTCATAAATTAATACCATCTGTTTATGCTGGTATCAAAATCACTTCCAATATGCTAGGACAACCGCAAGCCGTTGGATATTCTGGACCAACATACATCGCTATTCGAAGTGGAAAGCATAGTTCATACTGCTAATGCTCATGCTCAGGATTTCGAGACGCTTCTCGAACCTGAAGAGTTTCGACCATTAGCTAAAACTGACCATGGACTAGTAAAACCAGTGGTAATCATGACGGTTGAAATCCACCTTATCAAAAAGTCATAGGGTTTGCTATACAACACTTTAAGCGACATGATCTCGATGCATTGTTTTTAGCTGCCAATGCTCCTGGAAGAAGTGCGTATAACAGAGGAGAGCGCAGAATGGCTCCTCTTAGTCGGGAACTGGCTGATTTAATATTGCCTCATGACCGTTTTGGGTCTCATTTGGATGAACGTGGCGTTACAATTGATGAACATTTAGAAAGATCTAATTTCGAATTTGCAGGAAATGTATTAGCTGAAGTATGGAATTCAATGGAAATTGATGTCTATAATGTTAATGCAAAATATATTGGGGCAGATGAACAAGATCTTCCTGATTTTCCAGACATTAAATGGTATTCAGAACATGTGCGTGAGAGCCAATACTTGCTTCAAATTGTAAAATGTAGAAATACAGAATGCTGTCGTCCAAGAAGTGGCATATTTAGATTACTAGACAGTAGGTTTCTTCCACCACCTGTAAAAGTAAAATAAACAGTTGATGACTTGGTTTTGGATGAAGGAGAGCAATTTCTTAATCATCCAGTCAATTTAGCTCTACGCTTAAGTGCTGATTACTCTCAATTGAAAAATGAGAATAAAAGGCACTGTATATTAGTTTCTAGTTGCAGAATAACAAAAACTATAAAATTTCGATCAAGTCTAACATTCGTGAGTTGCAATTTGTTGCATTTTATGACTTACTAATTGTTTAAAAGGTTCTAGGCGACGTAAATATTATGAATACTGTGGCACGTGTCATATATTGAAAGCTTTGTATCAACAAAATGTATCAGTACTTTTTATGAGGGTCATCAAGTAAAATTGGTCATTAAAATAATAGCAAATAAACATTCGGCTTCAAACAACTCGCATAACCATAGTAGTAAAGTAGCCATTCATAGGCAAACAGATAATAACATATGGACAACTCAAACTCATTCTCACTTAATCATATGTCATGAAACATACTTTGTTTCAATATAGTACAAAAAATCGAAATCTTGATAACCCAGTAGCTACTTCACCCCCATTGCCCACTGGAACGACTTGAAAAAATACGTTTAAAAACAGTAGTATTCTTTCCTTTTACATTTTATAATAATTCCACTACTACAATTTTATAGAAGCTTTAACGCATTTCATTCTGGTAGCATTGTAGTCTAAAAACATCGTCATAATCAGAACGTCTAAATCAAGTCACATGGCTCTATGCATAAACAATAGATGATGAAATAGAGGTATATTTTAACAAAAAACATTCATAATTCGCTTTTCGGATTTTTCACAACCCCACTCATATCTGTCGGCATCTTTGTTTTTCTGCGAATTGATCGATCTTAAAAATCGACACATTGGTACCTGAGGACCTAGCAAACAAATCAACGTTTATCAAAACTCATAGCAAAACACTTATCGCTTAACCCCCAGCACTTGGCACTCAAAACACTCAGCACTCACAACACTCAAAACCCCCAAGACACTACAGACATTAAGAAATTCAAAACATTCAAACACACAGATGCTCAAAATACTCAAACACTCAACGCTCTAATCACTAATCATTAAAAGTTCAAAACCAAAACACTAGAAAGCCCAAGACGCCCGAAAAACTCGAAACACTCAAACTCAAACACCCAAGCATTCAAATACACGAACAGTCAAACACTAAAACGCTCAAACACTTAACAGCTGATACACTCAAGCTCTCAATCGCTCCAGCACTCAAACACTCTAACACTCAACACTCACAGATTCAATACACTCAAAACACTCAAAACATTAAAAATACTAAAAACACTAAAAACACTAAAAACACTAAAAACACTAAAAACACTAAAAACACAAAAAACACTAAAAACACTAAAAACACTAAAAACACTAAAAACACTAAAAACACTAAAAACACTAAAAACACTAAAAACACTAAAACACTAAAAACACTAAAAACACTAAAAACACTAAAAACACTAAAAACACTAAAAACACTAAAAACACTAAAACACTAAAAACACTAAAACACTAAAAACATTAAAAACACTAAAAACACTAAAAACACTAAAAACACTAAAAACACTGAAAACACTGAAAACACTAAAACCGCTAAAACATTAAAAACGCTAAAAACACTAAAAACACTAAAAACATTAAAAACACTAAAAACACTAAAAACTCAAATAACACTAAAAACACTAAAAACACTAAAAACACTAAAAACACTAAAAACTCAAATAACACTAAAAACACTAAAAACACTAAAGGCACTCAAAACACTCGACACGCTCGAAACATCCGAAACACCAGAAACACTCGAAACACGCAAGAGACTCCAAACACTCAACACACAAGACACTCCAAACACTCAACACAGAAGACACTCAAAACTTAAAAGCTCAACACTAAATCACTCAAAAAGCTGCACTCAGCACTCAAAGCTATCAACACTCAATGTTAAGCACAAAAACATGCGTTTACGCCACGGTGCTTCATGTTTACAATGAAAGGGAACAGTAATTTGGTCACAATTTAGTTAGATTGATGTTAGTATATGAATAACCTAATTTTGTTTTTATAACCAAATCGCTGAAACCTCCATTACGACTATTCCTACTCATTGATGTGTATTGTTTACCTTTCAGCGCTCATTCGCCGGAGTCGAACCACAACGAGCACCCGAAGAAGGTTCCAATCACTCCATCGCGTTCCATCAGATCCAACATCAACTACACATTCAACCATGTTCATGAGCCTCTTACTCCAACGCGGTCTGCCAGTTTGTGTCGATCTGGGCTTCCCATACGATCCAGGTAGGTTTTTGGTCGTATTCTGTAGAATACTGTTAAGAGCGTTGTATTTAATAACACCCAGATAACACTACATCAAATATAGTTTTTGTTCGCAAATGGTATTTTTTCGTACTTAAATATTATATTAATTTGAAAAAAAAATATATGACGGATGATCTCACTTCAATATCCAACAAAAATCTGCAAGCATTTCCGGCGGTCAGTTTCTCTGGTATCCATTTTTCATCGTCATGATGCCTTGATGCAACCTTTCCCCGCGCTAGCAGCTACCGCACCCAAGTTTTCGGGGAAAAGCTAGATGGGAATCAACGAAATGAGTCTTCAAAGACATACTACATCCTAATATACAGGGTGTGGCGTAAAGAGTGGATAACCTTTAGCCTGTAGTTAGAGGACATCATAACGATTAAAAAAATTGAAAATTGTGTCTAGTAAAAGCTGCACGGTTTTCAATTTTTGTGACGTTTTTCAAATTTGGAGAAAATTGGCACATTCACTCACTGTTTCAAGTCTCGTGATAACACATGAAGGGGTTTTCTCATCATTTTTTCAACATAATATTCTTGGACTCATGTGTCATATACCGTAATATAAATTGCCATTTTCGCGCTGCAGGTTTAATTACTTTTTGAAAAAATCATTAAAACTCGGAAAAAATGTTTTTTCTCTTAAGTTTGACCACGTATGGTGTCAATAATATTGTGGTAACCTAGTGAAACAAGACGTGAATTACTTACCTAGTTCATTGAGATTTCAAAAATTGATATTCTCTTTTGTTATGCCTCTATTATGTGCTAAATCAACAACAATGGACTTGAGTTGAACTTTTCTTTGGAAAAGTAGGCGTCTCAGCTATAGCAATAGGAATCCTTTGAATTGACAGCAGGAAATACGGTGTATTGTATCATTTTGCAACCTCAATGAATTAGGCAAATTATTCAAGTCATGTTTTACTGGATTACCGCGATATTATTGACACCACAAGTGGTCAAACTTAAGAGGAAAAAAATTATTTTTTTCCGTGTTTTAATGATTTTTTAAAAAAGCAATGAAACCTGTAGCACGGAAATGGCAATTTATATTTAATGACACATGTATCCAAGAAGACTTATGTTGAAAAAAGAATGCGAAAAAACCTTCATGTGCTATCACGAGACTTAAAACAGTGTGTGAAGGAACCAATTTCCTCCAAAAGCGTCAAAAAACTCGAAAACCATACAACTTTTACTAGACATGATTTTTAATTATTTGAAGCTTTATGATGTCCTCTAACTGCAGGTTAAAGGTTATCCACTCTTTACGCCACACCCGGTATGTAATATAATAATATATACAATAAAAACTGAATTATACAAAAGTTACTAAAAACTTCATATAAAATCTAGAAATTCAAAAAAATGGGGGTTTCCATTTGAAAATCTAAGGCGTAGCGCAATATCTTATTTTTGAATCACCCTGTATTGTACGGCTATAGATGGCTAGAAATCAAAATTAACGTGTCCCAGCGTGTTTCCCAAAATGTATCAGAAGAGTCACAAATAAGGGTGCGACCTTTTCGTTGGGCCACCCTGTAATTTTGTTTGTTTGTTTGTTTCAGATTTATTTAGCATTAATGCTACAATGTCCATAATATCCATATTACACAGTATATCACAAAATATATTATGTCTTCAAGACTACATATTTTTATACAAAATTTCACTACTATGACTTGAACATATTATAATATACTAAGTGACATATAAATCCGAACACCCAGTTTAAATGTTTTTATTTTAATAAAAGTTGGTGAATGTATTTATCTTACTGTAAATAAAGAGTAAAAAAATTTTCAGCCTTATCAGTTGGACATTCCGGTTTTTATACTGCTTTTTTTTAATTCACTAACGCTCTAAAAATGAATATTTCAGCCGCAGTAAAGAATCAACGTTAGCGGATTTTGGTTCTTCACATCCTTTACGATCGGTTACGATGCCTAGAGTACGGAGACCTGTACGATTTCGTCAACTTAGCGAGTTTGATAGGGGCCGTATAGTGGGACTTCGGGAAGCTGGACTTTCTTTTCGGGCAATTGCAGTTAGAGTGCAAAGAAGTGTAGACACTGTGATTAGATGTTGTCAGGCATGGCTTCGAGAAGGCCGTACGCAAAGAGCAAGGGGCACTGGACGCTACCGTAGAACAACAGACCGTGAAGATCGCCGCCTAAGATTATTGGCCTTAAGGGACCGTTTCTCCACTACCAGGTCCATTGCAAATGAATGGTTTGCAGAACACGGAACACCTATTGGCATGCGAAGTGTTTACCGACGAATGAGAAGTTTTGGCTTGTTTTCATGCCGGCCACACTGGGTCCTCCCTTTAACTCGAGAACACCGACGTAATCGCCTTGAGTGGTGCAGACAACGGTCACTCTGGGATCAGGAATGGAACAGTATTGTCTTTAGTGACGAGTCTCGATTTTGTTTAGGCATGCACCATGGTCGTGCCGGGGTTAGAAGGAGACGTGGTGAAAGGAGGAATCCACAGTTTTTTGTTGAAAGACATGTTCATCACACTGTTGGAGTTATGGTTTGGGGTGCTATAGCTTATGGGTCACCTTTAATCTTCATCAGAGGTAACATGAACGCGCAGCGTTATATCCACGAAGTTCTAGAACCCCATCTTTTACCCTATCTTGACACCCTGGCAGATCCAACTTTCCAACAAGATAATGCCCGACCACATGTTGCAAGAGTCACAATAGACTTCTTTCAACATAATGATGTCACATTGTTACCATGGCCACCAAGATCTCCCGACTTATCCCCAATTGAGCACGTGTGGGATATGATGGGTAGGAGATTGCTCAATTTGCAACGTCCTCCTCAGACTCTAGAAGCATTTCGAGAGGAGTTGGTGGTTGCCTGGAATGAGATACCACAGGAGGACATTGACCACCTGATCAGAAGCATGCCTAGGTTCGTTGGAGAATGCGTAGCACATCAGGGTGCATCCACACATTATTAAAGGTCAAAGGGCTTTAAAGCAGTGCAATCATTTTGAAATTTTTATCATTTACTTATTATGCTTCATTAAGTACTTATACAAAATTTTATTAAAATAAAACCATTTAAACTGGGTGTTCGGATTTATATGTCACTTAGTATAATTGAACTAAAGGCAAAAGTCCATTTTGACCAGAGTAAGAGAACTCAACTCATCGATGACACCAGCCCATATCTACATTTTAAGCGTTATTTCCTTCTATCTGTTTCAGTTTCAAATTCCAATTCTCGTCTCGCCCGGAATCGCTCCATCTGGATGCCTCCATGCTGAACTACGAACCAGCGTCGAGAGTCTCATCGTTCCGGCGCGAGACGAAGACCGCCCAGACCCTGAGCATCGTGATGGGCGGTTTCATAGCCTGCTGGCTGCCCTTCTTCATCTTCTATCTGCTAACGCCCTTCATCACGACCAATGAAACAACGACACTCATCATGTCCTACCTGACGTGGTTAGGCTGGATCAACTCCGCTATCAATCCGTTCATCTACGCGTTCTACAGTCCTGACTTCCGAATAGCCTTCTGGAGACTGACCGTGAAACACTTCTCGAACAACAGAAGGGCCGACTTCGCGTCACAGCATAAATGAGACAGGGGGACTATAAGGTTTGCGCCTCAGGAAGCAGCCGTTTGAAATTAGCGAAGGCTTTTGGTTGAACTGGTTCGCGATAGCACTTTGAATGTCAAACGCCTGTTAAGGCTGGCATAGGTGTTGTTGTGATGTACAGGGTGGCCAACTAAGAATGCGAGGTTCTGGATCTGGGAACCTATCTATCGCAGAGGCAAACACAGTTAAAGCTTCCAACAGAAATACCTGGAAAATATTTTTAAGCTTCTTAAATGGGTGTAACTGCAATCCTGAACCTAAAAAAGTGATGTTTCTGTGAATTCCGATATATTAACTTGATAAAAAAAATATCTGATCTTTAGAGTCGAGGATAATGAGAACTTTTTTTGATTGACAATTTTTGCTGTATCTCTAAAAATAAAGTGGTGGGGGGTATTCAAAGGTTTCCGTAAAAAACACCGTGTATCTAGTTGAATGAGCTATTCCTGGGCTGAAAATATTATAATATTTGAAGATTAGTTACTTGCACATGTGGCCGCCAGAGGTCCTTTTTCGACATTTCTCAAAATTTAAATGCATTGGTTTGATTTTTCTTATAAAAATGTAGCTAAATGATGTCTAAACATGCTCGCGAAAACCGTATCTCGATATCTTGGTCCTAACTTATAATTTAGGCCATCGAAAGTTTGATAAGGATCCCTTAATTCTGTATTTCTTTTAAACTAATTTTGCTGGAACTGTTTAAGTTTTTACAGTTTTGGGCTGCATTTTCACGGAGCGAGACATGCTAGCGTCATCGGGAGTTTTAAAAAATGACTTTGTTTTTCGCAGAAGAATCTAACAACTACTATAGTAGTTGCTGGTTGTATGATGACGGAACAAAGGATTATTTTAATAAAATTATGAAATAGAAATGTGAACAAAAGCTCATTTTGGATAAGCATGTAGGACATATTAAATTGCATGGATCGGATACATTCCAAGTTTTCTAACAGCGTGTAATATGCCAAAATCACGTAATCTTTTTTTTTTACTATTTTGATTACTCACCAGTAATTTGAATTTCTCTTTAGTAATGATAGAGTACCGATTCCTAGACCAAACCGTTTTCAATGATTTTATTTTGACGAATTTCATAATTTATTGATATAATGAACTCGAAACTACCAAACCATAGTATAATATTTTATTAACGACTCAGAATCTCAGAAATGTCCTCATATAATATTGTTGGTTCCTCGTTCTTTACCCTCAACATTATTTTGTAAAATAATACGGGTCTGAGGTCTACCCATAGGCAACCAGTGATATCCTTTTGTGTAGGTTTGGTTGCGGAACTTTTCTTGAAATTCCGGTGGGTCATCATTTCCTGGTGAAGCATTGGTTGAAAAAGTGCATTATCGGCCATTCATTTAATTTCCAGATTTCTGCAATGTAATAATTATACTGTACAGAGCGAGCCAAGGTACATAACTCGAAAGAGACGTAAGTCCACGCCAGTCGAAAGCGGGGTAGATCGTAATCTGCCTTTGAAATGTGTGGTGAAACGCATTTCAGAAGGAAATCAAACTGAACTTCAAACATATGTAGCTAAGGACCAGGAACAAAACATATGGAAAATTGGTCCAACTCAATTTGTCTAAAGTATGATATTTCTTGCCTTCCCGAACAAACGTGTCCATGGGACCAAAGCAATCGTATGACTAGTTTCTGAGAAATAGACGGATAAAGTTTGTCTGATTTGTGAAAAAACGTTGTAGGAAGGTATTGGGAGGTGGCATGTTGATCGACATGTCGCAGACCAAAACAAGAAAACTCAAACTTATAGTCAATAAAATATAATACCCTGAAACTACCTTCACATTAGTGCACTATTTCTTTCCCTTAATTCGACCCTGTAAAACTACGACTTTTCTGTTCCCTGTCCTTAACGTTCCCTGAATCCTTGAGCAACTCGTGCCAGATCTATTTCAGCATAAACATATAAAAAACAATTTTCACTGAAACTGGCCTCGATTACGATCAACAGCGCAAGTTGCAACAACGTTTTTTACCGAAATATTTTTTTTAGTATACGGATTCTCCGACTTTTTGGGCTGATAACTACAACAGGCACATTTACCATTTTTGCAAATCAGGCAAACTTTTTCCGCCTATCTCTCAGAAACTAGTCGTAGGATTGCTTTGGTCCCACGAACACTTTTGTTCGGGAATGCACGAAATGTATCATACCGAATTTTGAGACAAATCGGCAGGGATACATTTTCCATATGTTTTGTGCCTGGATCTTCAATAGAATCTCCAGGGGGTTGTTTTCATAATTCAGCGACTGCCAAATTGTGTTCTCCCAAGTTTCTTCATACTTGTATCCATTTCATGACCCAACAATTTTTTTCTTTTATTCTTTTTATCTGTCCACGTGGCTAACATACCACTGAAATTGAACTCAAAAGAGCGCAACTATCAATCAGAAACTCTTTCATGGTCGGCTTGACGGAATAACCTAAATCGTGACCGTGTGAACTGTTCACGACACTCGCTAGTTTATTTTTCACTCCGCACTCAAAACAAAAGTCTTGAAAGAGGGATCGAAAGCATAATACGCTCCAATAACAAATGTTGAGAAATAAATTATAAGAAGATAACTCATGATGTCGTTTTGAAGAATCCAATTTTGATCTTTGCTTCAAGTATGCTCAACCAAATTGGGATCCATATAGGAAGACAATTGTTGTTTAATTTTATATACGCCGATTCCTTTACCTTTCTTCTGTAATTGTTATCCTCTTTGTGCAATACTGATACTTCCTTCCAAGACTGTGTATCTATATGCTTGACGACCATATGATATCAGACACTACATCTTGGATGGCGATTTACCCCCAAGTAGAACGTACGAGTAGCACGAGTGCCTGTACCAGCCTTTGTACGACTGAAATAACAATTCTGCCTCGTGACATGACTGTTGGTAGATGGTTGCGGGTCTATGAGACAGCAGAATCGAGATGTTCTTAGGTTTCCGGAAATTGACCACTTCTAGAACGCTGATTTCCATATCACTTCTCTCGCCTGATTGGATCAAATACGCTATCAATCTCATCTATACGTTCTACAGTCCAGAACCTTCAAATAGCTTCCTGGAGAGTAACCGTAAAGAACTTAATGAAAGGAAGGTCGAAACAACTGTTTGATGACCTCTTACACGACTGTAATAGCAATTTTGTGTCATGACATAACCGTTAACAGAATCTAAATGTTCTTAGGTTTAGGACTTCCAAATTGATATCTGGAGAATGATCGTGAGCTTCATGCATAAAATTTCTTGAATGTAGAGTACTGAATGGGGATATTCTTTTTAATACAAAACGGTGTAAAATGCTATCGGCCATGGTGTGACGTCATAGAAATTGTAAACAAAGAAACGTCATCCGTATGTCAAAGTTTTTCTTCAAATATCTCCAAAGAACTCCTTATCAATGTAAAAAGTTGTCGTTTTCTCGTTCTATTGAAAAAAACAATCATAGGTGTCGGATTCGTAAAAGCAGAAAGCCCAACTTCGCCGACAATTGACACATTGATGATTGGTATTTTTTTTTGCCTTCAATCCATATTTTTGCTCTACTGAGCTGAGGAACATCAAGACTTCTGTGTAAATACAGTACATCTGATGACATAAACAGGAAGAATTAGTTGCATAAATCAATTTCAAGCGGATAACTAAATGAAAATGGTATTTACCATTTTGGGTTGGTATTTACCGATACGTTCAAGCGAGTGTGGTTATCAGCTTGGTTATAAGATCCGTGACGTCATGAATCAGCTGTTATATGTCATAGTTATCACCGCAAAATTGTGGTATTTACCCAACTCAAGAGTAGTTTTATATTTCTGGTTATTATTTGAAATGTGACAAGTTAGAATTTTGCCGGGTATTGGACATTGTTATTGCACTTCAGCTTCATTTTTGGGAAACTTGATACAGGCTGACTTCAATTTTACCATAAAGTGGAGCACCTTATTAGTTATACTCATTACTGTTGTTGACACTTTAAATGTAGTTCCTAAGCGTAACAAAGTATCCTGTGTAGCCATATACCACAAGAATATTAAAATATGGCCATATAAACTCACTAGATGATATTCACCTGTATACGGTTTTGCTAATTTCTTTTTTCATCATTTCTGCTGAATCAATAAATGTTTTCTTTGACATGCGGAAAACTTTAGAGAATTGAAAGTTATCATAGCTACAAAGCCATGGTTCCATCATTAAAAAAAATTCCTGAAAAAAAACATTTCTCCCATGAATATATGAAAGGTTCCTTATTTAAACTTTCCATACACAGTTGTAGACGAAATAGCACCGATTATTAAGTGATAATAAAAATAATCAGAGATCATATACGCGCTTTTCTAAAATAAACAACTTGCAACAAAACCGCGGTTCAAACCAACGCGTTCAAGCGATTCGTGTAACTGACGTCATCAACCCGTGTGTCATCTTGAACCATATTATAACCGCGGCACATAACACAGAAATTTTGGTTATTCGCTTGGATTTGATTATTTTCTTCCTTTTCAAAAGTCATTCAAAACTAACCTCATGTGTCAGCCTTAGAATTTTGAGAGGTTATGCTGCTGCCAGATGCAGTTGTCAAAACGTCAAAGCACATTAATATCGGCATTATCGGCCAAACAAGGCGGAACCATTTTCTCCTGTTTGAGAGAAATAAGTTTTACAGTCTTTAAGGTCTAAATAAAATACATTTTATTTGTTTTTGGTCTAACAGAACAATTATCAAATATCTAACACCTACTGAAAAAAGTGTCAACTAGCCTATTCATGAATAATACCCACAATTTTAAATGTGTTTTCCTTATTCCACAGTATTCGTAGCGATGCATCGCAATTATTTTCTTCTTTGATAATGGAAGTGACGAAATTCGCAGACAGTTTGCAGAGTAAATAGACGCTGTAAGTAAACTTACCATTATATACCGTTTGCGTACTGGAAAGCCGAATAATCTCATAATTTGAACAAAAAGGTTAAACTTCTCAACTTGGGCGCAACCTAGTTTTTCTTTGTATGTTCAGTAATCTAGTCATAAAAACTGATTAAATAGACTGTTTAATTGTAAATGCTTTAACTTCTTGCATATTTTAAGAGAATTAAATAGTAGGTATTTATTTTGTAAATATTGTTTTCATGTATTGCATAAGGTATCCATTTACACATTTCCGCTAAAATTGTAGACTTACTAGCTTTGTAAAGGAATATCCTGTTACGTGTTCTTCTTCTTCTCTCTATGGACATGTGTAATGTGTATGCAGAGTTATTCAAAAACAAAGAAAATATTTTTAGGGCAGAAAGTACCTAAACCAAAAAATAATACCATTCCGAAAAGCGCGGTAAAGTATATCAATGCGTAGGTGCGTATTTGCAAGTCATGTTATCATTACATCTGAGATATATTTTTACTATGTTTCAAAAATCTTTCTGTTCTATAAATACTACCATTTATTATTTTATTTATTTATTATTTATGAAAATCACTTCCTACTCAAAAATAATAGAGTACTTAAGACACGTCGATTTTGTAAATATTCAAAACTTTATGCGTTTGTAGCAAGATGGAACCTTAGGAGGTTATAGGTGTATATAATTATGTCTACCAGCTATATTTGAATGTATATTTACACTATGAATTAAAACATTTTCATTAATTTTGGACACTTATTTTGTACAATAAAAATTTTAAAGTGTAGTGCATTCTTTCTTCTATTTCCTTCCTCTGCATAGTTCTGCAGTTATATTTAAGTTCCTGGTGACATCGGGGGACTGTTATCAATTGTAGTTGTTCA